CCAGCCGCGCAAGGAGAAGCAGTCGACCAAGACATCGACTTCGGCGAAGGACGCCGACTCCGTTGCAGGCGGCAAGGGATGAGACGACAAGACGGCGTCGTGCTCGCTGGTCGGCGTCGTGGAGCCGACCATCTCTCTGGCGCCAGAGGCCGGAGAGGACTTCCAGGCGGTGGCGGCAGCTGTGCAGGCAAACCCGGCGGTGGTCCTGCTCGACAGTGGTTGCTCCCACCACCTGATGGGGACGAAGGAAGCCTTTGTCGACTTGCAGCCGAGCGGCGCCATCAGGCATGTGCGCGGCTTCAATGGGGCACTGCAGGATGTCCAGGGCTGCGGCACCATCGCCCTGCAAGGAGAGGCCGGGAAGGAGGTGCTCATCCCCGACGTGTTGTACGTCCCGGGTGTGCGAGCCAACCTGCTGTCGGCCGGCCAACTGAAGGAGCATGGCGTGAAGCTGCAGGAGGACGGAGACGGCATGTTGCTCGTCTCGGCAGCAGGGGAGGTGCTCGGGCGGGCGACGTACTCTGGACGAGTCCTCTGCACCGACCTGCGTCCCTGCGCGACGAGGTCTACGCCACCCACGACGGAGGTGGTGGCTCTGCGGGCGATCGTCTCGAAGACGAAGTCGACGCCGGACCGGATGCATGCGAGGCTTGCGCACGTCGGCATGGACACCATACGGAGCTCGGCGAAGAACGAGGTCGCAATTGGGCTGGACCTCAAGTCGGCGACGGACGCCGACTCCCCGTGTGTCTCGTGCGTCGGTGGGAAACTGGCGCGGCACACCTTCCCCGACCAAGGCTCCGACGCCGACGACGTGCTGGCCGTCGTGCACATCGACCTGTGCGGGCCGTTTCGCGTGGCTGCCAAGGATGGCAGCCTGTACTTCTTGCTGCTGAAGGACCGCAAGACCCGCTACGTGTGGGTGAAGCCGGTCGCCAAGAAGTCAGATGCGTTGCAGGCGTTCGTACAGTGGCTGGCGGTGGCTGAGCGGCAGACGAAGAAGTCGGTGTTGATGCTGCGCTCTGACCGGGGAGGGGAGTTCCTCGGGAAGCAGATCACCGACTTCGTGAACGGCAAGGGGATCGTCCACGACCTGACCTGCCCATACACCCCGCAGCAGAACGGCATGGCGGAGCGGGAGATGAGGACGGTGGTGGAGTCGGTGCGGACAATGCTGCTGCACATGGGTGTGCAGCACCACTGGTGGCACCTCGCTCTTCGACAGGCCGTCTGGGTCCGCAACTGTCTTGAGAGGTCGACGCTGCCACCGGGGACGACGTCATACCAGCTGCTGACCGGGAGGAAGCCCGACTTGTCGCTGGCACGGGTGTGGGGCTGCATGGCGCAGTTCCTTGTCCCTGAGCAGCAGCGTGGTGGGAAGCTGCAGCCGAAGGCCAAGTGGGGCCTACACCTTGGTGTGTCAGAGGCGAGCAAGGGCTGGGAGCTCCTTGACGTCGCCACTGACCGGGTGGTCACCACGTCGGACGTGGTGTTCTACGAGGAGCTGTCGCTGGCCGAGTGGAAGACGGAGCATGGGCCGGCGTCCGGCCGCTTGCCGCCCTCTGACACCTCGTCGGCGACGCTGCCGCTGCTTGCCGAGGTCGGTGAGCTTGCTACTGAGGACGTCGAGGACGTCCGCTCCTCTACCCCTCTCCCTCTGACCCCTGCCCCTCCCCTCGTGGCCGACCTTCGTGGGCTGACCTCGGTGTCGGCCTCCGGCGGTGAGGGGAGTAGTGGGACGCCGCCTTCGGTGCCGGCCAAGTGCATCGCCGGCGGCCGACGTGACGAACGGCGAATCGACGTGGGATTGCAGTCGACAGGGGAGCAGCAGGTCAAGGAGCAGCAGCCGACGAGGGAGCAGGCTGCCGTGAAGCCGACCACGGAGCAGTCGGCGACCGGGACGTCGGCAGGGGAGCCGACCACAGGGGAGAAGTTGGCTGGAAAGCCGACCACAGTGGAGCAGTCGGCTGGGACGCCGGCTGAGGAGCAGCAGGACGCCGAGGGCAGCAACGACAGTGACGATGGAGGGGACGCTGCGGAGGTCCAGCAGGGACCACGGCGTTCAGGCCGGCTTCGGAGGCCGCCTGACTTCTTCGTCCCCGCTGCCTTCACCACGGTGTATGACGTGGACGATGACGACGACCTGCTGTACGACGACGCCGAGGAGGATGAGGAGTTTCCGGAGCTCGACCCCGACATGCTAGCCGACCCCGAGCACTGTTGGGACATCTCGACGATGACGGTGAAGGAAGCGTTGGCGAGCTGGAAGGGCCCGGCGGTGAAGACCGCCATGGAGGAGGAGATTCACAGCCTCCTCGACATGGGCACTTGGGAGCTGGTCGAACGCCCGCCGGGAGTGAACGTCATGAAGAACCGGTGGGTGTTGACGACGAAGTACCACATCGACGACACCGTCGAGCGAGAGAAGGCGAGGCTGGTCGTGAAGGGCTTCACACAGGTGTATGGCGCCGACTACGACGAGACGTTCGCGCCGGTGAGCAGCTACGTCACGCTGAGGATCTTCCTCAGCATCGTCGCCGTCCTCAACCTCAACCTGATGCAGCTCGACATGAAGAACGCCTTCCTGCAGAGCAAGCTCGATCGGGTGCTGTACATGTCTCAGCCGGACTACTTTAATGACGGAACCGGCCGGGTGTGTAAGCTGCTGAAGAGCCTGTACGGGCTGAAGCAGTCGCCGCTGTTGTGGTACTTGGCGCTCAACGATGTGCTGGTCGGCGCCGGGTGGAAGAAGAGCCAGGTCGACGAGGCTCTTTACTTCAAGGTCGGCGAGGGTGGAGTGGCCTGCTGGGTGCTGGTCTACGTCGACGACCTGCTTGCCGCCAGCAGCAGCGCTGCGATGCTGAAGGAGCTGAAGGAGCTGCTGGAAGCTGCCTTCGAGCTGCGCGAGATCTCGCCGGTGCAGAAGTACCTCGGGCTGGAGATCGTACGCGACACGTCGGCGGGGAAGCTTTGGCTGCACCAGCAGGGCTACGCCGACAAGCTGCGTAGGCGCTTCCTCGACGAGGAGCAGACCGGGCGCACCCCGAAGACACTGGTCTCGGTCGGTGCCTACGCTGAGCTCACCTTCGATGACGAGGAGGCGCAGGAACGGCAGGAGGAGGAGTACCGGCAGAAGGTCGGCTCGCTGCAGTTCGCGGCGACGACGACGAGGTCGGACGTCGCCTTTGCCTGCAGCAAGCTGGGGAGCGGCCTCACGGTGAGGAGCGACCAGCACTGGCGCGAGGTCGACCGCTGCCTCGCCTACCTCGCTAACACACGTGACACCGCCCTGGAGTTCGGCGGTGGACCTGAGTCGCTGGAGCTGGTCGGCTACATGGACGCCGACGACGCCGGTGACAAGCAGAACAGGACGAGCACGGGTGGCTACGTGTTCGTCTATGGAGGGGCCGCAGTCTCCTGGTCGAGCCAGCGCATCAAGTGTGCGACGTTGTCATCGACTGAGTCGGAGTACGTGGCAGCCACCGAAGCCGGCAAGGAAGGACGCCGACTTCGCTTCCTCCTTGCAGAGTTCCGGCAGTTGGATGTCGGGAAGCCGACCGTCCTTCGGGTGGACAACAAGTCGGCCATCACAGTCGTCGAGGGCATGGGGTTGACGGGCAACCTCAAGCACATGGAGCGGCGACAGGCCTGGCTGCAGCACATGGTGAAGCGCGGGAAGTTCTCGCTGAGGTACATCCCGACCACTGAGCAGCCGGCCGACTTCCTGACGAAGGCGCTGCACTATCCGGCCTTCAACCGGTGCTCCGTCGCAATCGGCCAAGTGCGCTTGGCCGACGTGGGCGACGGCGACAACGACGTGCAGCAGTAGGTGCCATGCCCTCTTGCATGGCTGGTGCGGTGGACGACGTGCTGTTTGTTGGGTGCACGTCGACGAGCTATTCTCCGAGGAGTACTGCCGAGTGGACTTGGGGGGGCCAAGCGTGAACGCGGCAGGGGAGTGTCAACGGGAGTTGTGTGTTGGCCCCGTCCACGCTTGGGCGGAGCCGACTTTGTGGTGGGGTGTACGGAAGGTACAGCCGACTTGCAGCAGTGGGGACGCCGACTTGGACGAGCTTGTCGACGGGGTTGGTCGACTTGCACGGCGCCACTGCAATGCCGCCGACTTGGGAAGCCGGCGGCCGACTTCAACTGGTGGTCGGCGATGTGGCACGTCGACCTGGAAGTCGGCGCCGACTTGGGAGGACGCCGACTTCGAGAGGTCAGCCTGGAAGTCGGCGCCGGCGTAGAAGGGGCGTCGACCTGGTGACGCCGACTTTGGGTAGCCGACTTGGGTGGTCGGCTGACAACTGCACTGGTCGACCAGGAGTGACGTCGACGTGGAGCTGGTCGACCAGAGGAGTGGTCGACCTGGTGAGGTCGACTTGGTGTGGTTGTCGACTTGGGAGGTCGACGAGCACATACAGGAGCAGCTGGTCGACATAGTTGCCCGGTCGACCAGGATACCTGGGTGACGAGGTTCTGCGAAGGAGTGCAACGGTCACCCAGGCGAAGTTGGCGAGACCGACCTCCATGGTGGTATCCCGAGGTCGTCGTGGCGGATCAGAGGCAGTCGCTAGCCCGAGGTTGACCTGGTGTGTGCGCTGTGCAGATGACGAGACTTTGCATGCCAATCATCTGCGCGCACCTGCAAAGCGGGTGCACTGCTGTCCTGCGTGAGCAATGCTGGCACACCGTCAACCTGCAGCGTTGGCAAGCTGTCGACTTTGCACTGCTGGAGAGCGGTCGACCAAGTCGTGCTGGAACGCGGTCGACCATGCTGTGCTGGCAGTCGACCAACCTGAATGCTAGCTCTGATGTAGTCTTGCCATGCCAACTTGATTGTACCATTATTGACAACTTTCTCTAGTGAAACTCTTGCCAAAATTGCCCCGTGAACTAGCAAGCAGTGTGAGCACTAGGAAAACGTCTAAGGACCAACGAACGCAGACATCACACGAGCACACGTGCCTAGCCAGTACCCCAAGCTCCCGTTGTAGTAGTTATCTCCGCAGTTGCCACAGGTGGGAGGAGGAGGTGGGTGAGAGTTCTCGCTTGAGGGAGGAGGGGATAGTGGCGAGGAGGATGGCGAGAGCTCGACGGTCAGCAATGCGCCACGCAGCGATGTCGGAGGTGTAGTTAGCGAGGCGTGTAGTGTACGTGGTGAGTTGGGCGTGGTAGTCGCGGTGACGGGCAGCAGCCTCGTCGTAGGCGCGCTTGTCGTCCTCATAGCGCAGTTGACGGCGAAGGTGGTCGTTGAGTGTGTTGCGGTAGGCACGGATGGCAGTTTCCACGCTTTGAGGATTGTTGACATCCGGTGCGAAGGAGGGAGGATCACCAGGGGGCTCGGGCTCAGGTCCGGGCTCATCAGGAGGAGGTCCGGTGGGGGCAGAAGGGGCGATGGGCTGGAGTCCGCCTTCCTCCTGGAATACGACGGAGCGGAGTGTATAACCACTGACGATGACCGAGGAGAGCAACACCACGACGGAGTGAGCATAGGAGTGCCAGTTGGCGGCCGAGTTGTCGCCGAGTAGCTCGAGGGCGTCAATGGTCGCTAGATCGACCGAGGAGTCGGATGACGCCATGACGGCGGAGGGGTGAAGGCGCCGCTGCTGCTGTTGGTATTGGTGCCGCCGCTGCTGCTGCCGCCGCCGATGCCGCTGCTGCTGCCGCCGCCGATGCCGCTGCTGCTGCTGCTGGTGCCGTTAGGGGTGGAGTAGGGGGAGGAGGTAGAGGGGAAGAGAGGCTGGTACGGAAGTGCGGGGAGGAATTAGGGTTTCGAGGTCGTGGAGATCGCGGGCAGGCGAACGCGACGGCGGGCAGATCAGCCGCGGCTGCGCGCCAGCCGTCCGCGTCGGCGCAGGGGCGTCGACGGCCACGCGCTGGCCGTCCGCGGTGGCGCGCGGTTCGTTCGTGGCCGCGCGCTGGCTGTCCGCGTCAGCACGCGGCTCGTCGGCGGGGCCGCGCTGGCACTCCGTGTCAGCGCGCGAGTCGTCGGCGGGGCCGCGCTGGCCGTCCGCGTCAGCGCGCGGGTCGTCGGCGGGGCCGCGCTGGCCGTCCGCGTCAGTGCGCGGGTCGTCGGCGGGGCCGCGCTGGCCGTCCGCGGCAGCGCGCTGGTCGTCGGGGGTCGCGCGCTGGCCGTCCGCGGCAGTCGCAGGTCGTCTGCGTCGCCGCGCTGGTCGTCCGCGCCGGCGCGGAGGTCGGACGCGTCGGCGGGCAGATGGAGGCGTGGCGTTGGGAGGAGGGATTGCTGCCACGGGGGAGCGGTTTGGGGCTGCGGGAGGGAAGATTGAGGCTTCGGGAGGGAGGATAGAGGCCGCGGGAGGGAGAATTGAGGACGCGGAGGAGGAGATCTACGCCGCGGAACGCTAGATCTGAGGTGCGGGAGGCGGAACTGAGCTGCGGGAGGCTAGATCTGAGGAGCGGGTGGGCCGATGTAGGTCATAGTCCGCTAGGGTAAGGGAGCGGGGAGGGAATTACAACATGAGGATCGAGGGAAGGTGGCGTGAGCCATTTGGCTCTGAATACCATGATAGAATTCAAGAGTGGTTGAATAATGAGCCATGGAGGCTCTCTAGTACAAGCATGCAAGCAAGAGAGGGGTGAAGAAGGAGCAAACCCTATTGGCCACTAAGTTGGCCAATGGGGGAGATGCCTTGTGGAGTAGGTAACCCCACAATGTTGCTAGGTTGTGATTGGTAGGCCTTAGGACCAAAAAGTTGGCAAGTGCCAACCAAGGACCAAGACCAAACCCAACCTTGACCAACCACAAAATGTGGTTGGAGTGTACACCCAACCCCCCAAGAACATAAAGAGCTACACCATTGTAGCCTATGTATGTTGTATATAAGATACAGTTACAACAGGCAAGGCACGGCAAGGCAAGGCACGGCAAGGCACGGCAAGGCAAGGCAAGGCAAGGCAAGGCAAGGCACGGCAAGGCAAGGCAAGGCAAGGCACGACAAGGCAAGGCAAGGCAAGGCAAGGCACGGCAAGGCAAGGCAAGGCAAGGCAAGGCAAGGCACGGCAAGGCACGGCAAGGCAAGGCAAGGCAAGGCACGGCAAGGCACAGCAAGGCAAGGCAAGGCAAGGCACGGCACGGCAAGGCAAGGCACGGCAAGGCACGGCACGGCAAGGCACGGCAAGGAAAGGCAAGGCAAGGCAAGGCAAGGCAAGGCAAGGCAAGGCACGGCACGGCAAGGCAAGGCAAGGCAAGGCAAGGCAAGGCACGGCAAGGCAAGGCACGGTAAGGCAAGGCAAGGCAAGGCACGGCACGGCAAGGCAAGGCAAGGCAAGGCAAGGCAAGGCAAGGCAAGGCAAGGCGCGGCACGGCACGGCACAGCACGGCAAGGCACGGCAAGGCAAGGCACGACAAGGCAAGGCACGGCAAGGCAAGGCAAGGCAAGGCAAGGCACGGCAAGGCAAGGCACGGCAAGGCACGGCACGGCAAGGCAAGGCAAGGCAAGGCACGGCAAGGCAAGGAAAGGCAAGGCAAGGCACGACAAGGCAAGGCAAGGCAAGGAAAGGCAAGGCAAGGCACGGCAAGGCAAGGCAAGGCAAGGCAAGGCAAGGCAAGGCACGGCACGGCAAGGCAAGGCACGGCAAGGCAAGGGTAGGCAAGGCAAGGCAAGGCACGGCAAGGCAAGGCAAGGCACGTCAAGGCACGGCAAGGCAAGGCAAGGCAAGGCACGACAAGGCAAGGCACGGCAAGGCAAGGCAAGGCAAGGCAAAGCACGGCAAGGCAAGGCACGGCAAGGCACGGCACAGCAAAGCAAGGCACGGCAAGGCAAGGAGAGGCAAGGCAAGGCACGGCAAGGCAAGGCAAGGCAAGGCAAGGCAAGGCAAGGCAAGGCACGGCACGGCAAGGCAAGGCACGGCAAGGCAAGGGTAGGCAAGGCAAGGCAAGGCAAGGCACGGCAAGGCAAGGCAAGGCACGTCAAGGCACGGCAAGGCAAGGCAAGGCAAGGCACGACAAGGCAACGCACGGCAAGGCAAGGCAAGGCAAGGCAAGGCACGGCAAGGCAAGGCACGGCAAGGCACGGCACAGCAAGGCAAGGCACGGCAAGGCAAGGCAAGGCAAGGCAAGGCAAGGCACGGCAAGGCAAGGCAAGGCTAGGCAAGGCAAGGCACGGCAAGGCAAGGCACGGCAAGGCAAGCTAAGGCACGGCACAGCACGGCAAGGCAAGGCACGGCACGGCAAGGCAATGCACGGCACGGCACGGCAAGGCAAGGCAAGGCAAGGCACGGCACGGCAAGGCAAGGCACGGCAAGGCACGGCAAGGCACGGCAAGGCAAGGCAAGGCAAGGCAAGGCACGGCAAGGCAAGGCACGGCATGGCAAGGCAAGGCAAGGCAAGGCACGGCACGGCAAGGCAAGGCAAAGCAAGGCAAGGCACGGCAAGGCAAGGCAAGGCAAGGCAAGGCAAGGCACGGCAAGGCAAGGCACGGCAAGGCAAGGCAAGGCAAGGCACGGCACAGCAGGGCAAGGCAAGGCAAGGCAAGGCAAGGCAAGGCACGGCACGGCACGGCACGGCACGGCACGGCACGGCAAGGCACGGCACGGCACGGCACGGCAAGGCACGGCACGGCACGGCACGGCACGGCACGGCACGGCACCGCACGGCAAGGCAAGGCACGGCACGGCACGGCACGATACGGCACAGCACGGCAAGACAAGGCAAGGCAAGGCAAGGCAAGGCAAGGCAAGGCAAGGCACGGCAAGGCAAGGCAAGGCAAGGCATGGCAAGGCACGGCAAGGCAAGGCACGGCAAGGCAAGGCAAGGCACGGCAAGGCACGGCAAGGTAAGGCACGACAAGGCAAGGCACGACAAGGCAAGGCACGGCAAGGCAAGGCACGGCAAGGCACGGCAAGGTAAGGCAAGGCAAGGCAAGGCAAGGCAAGGCAAGGCACGGCAAGGCAAGGCAAGGCACGGCAAGGCAAGGCAAGACAAGGCAAGGCACGGCACGGCAAGGCAAGGCAAGGCAAGGCAAGGCAAGGCAAGGCAAGGCAAGGCAAGGCAAGGCAAGGCAAGGCAAGGCACAGCACGGCAAGGCAAGGCACGGCAAGGCACGGCACGGCAAGGCACGGCAAGGCAAGGCAAGGCAAGGCAAGGCAAGGCACGGCAAGGCAAGGCACGGCACGGCACGGCAAGGCAAGGCAAGGCAAGGCAAGGCAAGGCAAGGCAAGGCAAGGCAAGGCAAGGCACGGCAAGGCAAGGCAAGGCACGGCAAGGCAAGGCAAGGCAAGGCAAGGCACGGCACGGCAAGGCAAGGCAAGGCAAGGCAAGGCAAGGCAAGGCAAGGCAAGGCAAGGCAAGGCAAGGCACGGCACGGCAAGGCAAGGCACAGCAAGGCACGGCACGGCAAGGCACGGCAAGGCAAGGCAAGGCAAGGCAAGGCAAGGCAAGGCACGGCAAGGCAAGGCACGGCACGGCACGGCAAGGCAAGGCAAGGCAAGGCAAGGCAAGGCAAGGCACGGCACGGCAAGGCAAGGCACGGCACGGCAAGGCAAGGCAAGGCAAGGCAAGGCAAGGCAAGGCAAGGCAAGGCAAGGCAAGGCACGGCAAGGCAAGGCACGGCAAGGCAAGGCAAGGCACGGCACGGCAAGGCAAAGCAAGGCAAGGCAAGGCACGGCACGGCACGGCACGGCACGGCAAGGCACGGCAAGGCAAGGCAAGACAAGGCAAGGCACGACAAGGCAAGGCAAGGCAAGGCAAGGCACGGCAAGGCAAGGCACGGCAAGGCACGGCACGGCAAGGCAAGGCAAGGCAAGGCACGGCAAGGCAAGGCAAGGCAAGCCAAGGCAAGGCAAGGCAAGGCACGGCAAGGCAAGGCAAGGCAAGGCAAGGCACGGCACGGCAAGGCAAGGCACGGCAAGGCAAGGCAAGGCAAGGCAAGGCAAGGCAAGGCAAGGCACGGCAAGGCAAGGCAAGGAACGGCAAGGCAAGGCAAGGCAAGGCAAGGCAAGGCAAGGCAAGGCAAGGCACGACAAGGCAAGGCACGGCAAGGCAAGGCAAGGCAAGGCAAGGCACGGCAAGGCAAGGCACGGCAAGGCACGGCACAGCAAGGCAAGGCACGGCAAGGCAAGGCAAGGCAAGGCACGGCAAGGCAAGGCAAGGCAAGGCAAGGCAAGGCAAGGCAAGGCAAGGCAAGGCACGGCAAGGCAAGGCCAGGCAAGGCAAGCTAAGGCACGGCACGGCACGGCAAGGCAAGGCACGGCAAGGCACGGCACGGCACGGCAAGGCAAGGCAAGGCAAGGCAAGGCACGGCACGGCAAGGCAAGGCACGGCAAGGCACGGCAAGGCAAGGCACGGCAAGGCAAGGCAAGGCAAGGCAAGGCAAGGCAAGGCAAGGCACGGCAAGGCAAGGCAAGGCAAGGCAAGGCACGGCAAGGCAAGGCAAGGCAAGGCAAGACAGGCAAGGCAAGGCACGGCAAGGCAAGGCACGGCAAGGCAAGGCAAGGCAAGGCAAGGCAAGGCAAGGCAAGGCAAGGCAAGGCAAGGCACGGCACGGCAAGGCAAGGCACGGCAAGGCACGGCACGGCAAGGCACGGCAAGGCAAGGCAAGGCAAGGCAAGGCAAGGCAAGGCAAGGCACGGCAAGGCAAGGCACGGCACGGCACGGCAAGGCAAGGCAAGGCAAGGCAAGGCAAGGCAAGGCAAGGCAAGGCACGCCACGGCAAGGCAAGGCACGACACGGCAAGGCAAGGCAAGGCAAGGCAAGGCAAGGCAAGGCAAGGCAAGGCACGGCAAGGCAAGGCACGGCAAGGCAAGGCAAGGCACGGCACGGCAAGGCAAGGCAAGGCAAGGCAAGGCACGGCACGGCACGGCACGGCACGGCAAGGCACGGCAAGGCAAGGCAAGACAAGGCAAGGCACGACAAGGCAAGGCAAGGCAAGGCAAGGCACGGCAAGGCAAGGCACGGCAAGGCACGGCACGGCAAGGCAAGGCAAGGCAAGGCACGGCAAGGCAAGGCAAGGCAAGGCAAGGCAAGGCAAGGCAAGGCACGGCAAGGCAAGGCAAGGCAAGGCAAGGCACGGCACGGCAAGGCAAGGCACGGCAAGGCAAGGCAAGGCAAGGCAAGGCAAGGCAAGGCAAGGCACGGCAAGGCAAGGCAAGGAACGGCAAGGCAAGGCAAGGCAAGGCAAGGCACGGCACGGCAAGGCAAGGCAAGGCAAGGCAAGGCAAGGCAAGGCAAGGCAAGGCAAGGCAAGGCAAGGCAAGGCACGGCACGGCAAGGCAAGGCACAGCAAGGCACGGCACGGCAAGGCACGGCAAGGCAAGGCAAGGCAAGGCAAGGCAAGGCACGGCACGGCAAGGCAAGGCACGACACGGCAAGGCAAGGCAAGGCAAGGCAAGGCAAGGCAAGGCAAGGCAGGCACGGCAAGGCAAGGCACGGCAAGGCAAGGCAAGGCACGGCACGGCAAGGCAAGGCAAGGCAAGGCAAGGCAAGGCACGGCACGGCACGGCACGGCACGGCAAGGCACGGCAAGGCAAGGCAAGACAAGGCAAGGCACGACAAGGCAAGGCAAGGCAAGGCAAGGCACGGCAAGGCAAGGCACGGCAAGGCACGGCACGGCAAGGCAAGGCAAGGCAAGGCACGGCAAGGCAAGGCAAGGCAAGGCAAGGCAAGGCAAGGCAAGGCACGGCAAGGCAAGGCAAGGCAAGGCAAGGCACGGCACGGCAAGGCAAGGCACGGCAAGGCAAGGCAAGGCAAGGCAAGGCAAGGCAAGGCAAGGCACGGCAAGGCAAGGCAAGGAACGGCAAGGCAAGGCAAGGCAAGGCAAGGCAAGGCAAGGCACGGCACGGCAAGG